ATATCCCCTGAAGTCTTCTTTAAACTAAACAAGAAAGAAAGAAAAACAACAGTTTAGCTTAATTAGCAAAGAAGGTCTGCCTTGAGCACTATACTCTTTTAAGTATCTGTATAATACACTTCTTGGAGAGAACAATCATGGGAGAAAGAAGGGCTGCTTATTCACAGGGAGACAGCTCAGGGGGCAGGAGTGCATGGAGGGATAGACACAGGGAAGAGGTGACTGTCAGGAGGAAGTGGGAGGGGAACTGTTGCATTGTGGTAAATTGTGGTCAATGTCATGAGACAAAGTGTATATGAACTGCTGTATGGAAAGTTAATCTGCTTTGTAAATTTTCACCCAAATCACACACACACACACACAAAAGTATCTGTATAGAGTAATCCCTCACAGACAACCAGACACTACGGGAGAGAGATCCAATAGATCTACTGTCTCAGGACCATAGTACTGGGGAACAACAGACTCAGTTGGCACAATACAATACATAAAAGCCTTGCTCTACATCCTACATTGGTGAGTAGCGACTAGGGTCTTAAAAGCTTTCAAGTGGCCATCTAAGATGCAGCTAACGGTCTCCTAGTGTCGGAAGCGAAGAAGAACGCAAAAAAAAAAAAAGCCCAAGGGCATTTAGAAGCAAGCAGCCCTAGGACATGACGGCCCTCGAGACCAGAACTAGATGGTACCCAGCTACCAATGCCAACCACTCAGGAAAGGATCAACTCTGGAAATCCTGGATAGAGTGGGAGGGAAAATGTGGAACAAAATCCAAAAACTCAAAAATGACCAGAAATACTAGTCAGATGAAATCTGGTGAGACTCCCAATACTATGGCCCTGGAACATATTCTGCATCTGGAATAAAACTCACCTCCAGGGGCGGGCTCTCAGCCCAAGAGTTAACAAGATGTATACTCAGACCACTCAACCCAGGATGACTCACCCACATCCTCTATGGTAATACATCCCTTAGAGCAATAGACCATGGGACACCAGAGGACCAACATTCAAATTGAGGAAATGCAGGACAAACAGGAGTGCATAAATATGAGGGGCAGAAGAGGATGGTTACAGGGCAGGGAGGGGAGGAGACTGGGTTAGGGTTGGACATGGTAAATGGGGAATGAAACTAAATGTACACGCTACATCGAATGTAAAACAAGTTCTTAAAATAAAAAATAAAAAAGTACCTGTATAAGATAAAACTGATTAGATAGGAGCCTTAGGGGCCAGTGAATTTATGTGCAGAGGAGAGGAGCAATTTGGAAAAGGAGGGTGAGACTGGTTACACAATATGAAGAATGTCACCACTGTCACTAAATTATAGAAACTGGTCAACACTGACTATACATATTCTCAACAACAAAGAAAAATTTTTAAATTGTTTCCACTTGGTCTTTAAAAAAAAAAAAGAGCTCACAAGAGCTTCCGGGTGGTCTCTGCAGCCCCGGTTGAGCAGCCACAGGAGCCATGGAAGGTTCTGGGGGGCAGTGACCCGGTAACAGAAGACTCATGGGAGATCAGTGCTCAGGAGGAGACTTAAGGAATCTTTTTAAAATTCTCCTCAGCATAGGGGCAGAGCACAGGCCAGCAACGTAGAGACCAGGTTCCCGGCACAGGATTTCTCCCCCACATCTGACTTTCCTCCCCGAACCCACTACAGATGTCCTGCCACTCAGCCTACCCCACCCTACCTCCCACCCCATGGAGAGTGAATGTGCCGTCAGGACACCCCTCACCTTGCATGAATTCCCTTCTCACCCTCCTGCCCCCAGCCTTCCACCCAGGCCCATAGCCGTTCTCTTCCATTCCAGGAAGAGACCTTGGCAGAGTGCTGCTCGCCCAGGTGCCAGCAACATCTGTGGGAAGTGGGAACAAGCCTGAGGCCTCTGAGAGCCAGGAAGCAGTAGTCTCCCCAACAGCTGGGCCACAGCTGGAAGCCCTTCCGCATAGGCCCACAACATCTGCCTATGTCTGTGTCTCCCCCTTGGCTGCTGTGGGAAGGCACCAGCATGGGCCCCACCACCCTAAATGGGTCATTACCCACAGGCTC